CTTTATTTCTGATTGCACAGATGGTTCTGGTTCTAGTTCTGCATCATTGTAAATGGCGAATGTTATTTACGAAAGTTAAATGAAGCGGGGTGTCTGAAAAACAATTTTTTAAGAAGTGAATAACGATTGAAGTGAATGTATACAGCAAGGTAAAGTCATGTAGAAGGAAACGGTAGGGTTTTTTCGCGCCAATAGCGGCGTACGGGCCGCATTCGCAGCGCATGCATTTTGCATGCGATCTCACGAAATTTCAATGAACCCCGTTCTGTCCCAATATAACCCTCACCAAAATATAAAAAAGGTTATATGGGACAGAATTATTCGGTCTACAGCGATTTATGATGGTAAACTATCAACGAGCCACTACGGTATTGCTATTGGGCGATACAATTAATTAAACTACTCAGTGAGTCAGTCAGAGTACTACTTACTCAGGTACCGTACTGGCGTAATACCTACTAATAGTAATACTAATAGTAATAGGTCCTACCGTCGATCAGCCGTACTGTCCTGATCGACAGACGACACTCAAAAATCTAGTTTTTTGGGCGCCAGTGTAAATTTACGAATTAGCACTGCAATACAAGAGAATTTGTAGGCATGATACTAACATGACGATGTACAGGAAGTATTGATATGGAATTCGCCTTTTCAGTTTTTACCATATTTGATTATTTACAACTTCGAGTTCACTCATTCACAATGGGCGCATCCATATTAAACAAGTGATCTTCCCTTTGACATTATTTTTTCAGTTTGTAAATCCTTTAAATACATGCATCACAATCTTTTGTACTTGTGAATTATCGTGGTGATAACTTATATTTAATTTGCTCAAGTTAGTTTATACTCGTCGTATGTAAACAATTTTTAAATTTACATGATACTATCGTCATCGTTTTACTACGCGCACGCGCGCGCGCACTTGGGCCTTTTCAATAATGAAACGATTGTAACAAACATAAATTCTATTCACTACTGAAGTCTTAATATTTATGTATTCTCTATCTACTAATAATTCCACGTAAATGGCGTTCAAATAATTCATGCTCGATCCCCCTCTGCAACACACAATCTCTCGCACACACGCCAGTGTGCACAAACCACTGATCTCTATAATAATTTTGTTATAGAGTTCAGTGGCACAAACACACAGAAAGATGGAGTCTAGAGAAAGATATAGAGGAAGATGGAATAAAAAGAGAAAGATAGAAATGTATCTCTCAGTGAGTTTGTGGTGTACGGGCGTGCGGTAAAAATGTGTAGGACATAATTTCAAGAGCTAATAATACCTTTATTATTAGCTCTTGATTATTTGAACTGCATATACGGAGGTGAATACAATAACGCGCAACTCAACACAAGAGTAGGGTTCTCGGTGAAGGAGTACCGAGGCTAGGTATGACCCCTAATATTGTGTTTGGTTACAATATTGATATTGGGTTCCTTCGCTTTAGACGAGCAGGACGGCCGGTGTAGTGTTAGGTATCAGTGTCCGATGAATATTAATATCACCCGACGTACGGTATCAAGGGATACGAGATCGCTGATACGCCTGATCACATGCCCAGATGATACACTGCACGCGATGGCCCGTGTTTGTTGTAGCACCTTGCGAGCGTATGTGTAACCGCCTCAAGTTCTGCGCGGCAGGTATCAATATTCGTTCGTGGATTGCGTGAGAGATGCGGTGTCGACGAGTTATCGGTAACACACAGTGAACGCAAAACAAGTGTGTTTAATGAACGGACTAAGTGTTTATTCTAGCGGTTAGAGTTTCTACACAGTCTACATAGGTACAAGAGCACACGAAAACACAACCTTTCACGGGAAAGTCTGCCCTAGATACCGCCGCCGACGGTGCGGCACGGCTACTATATATTCCGTTCCCTTTGTTCGCAGCAGAAAATGCCTACTAATGTTCAACGTGCGCTATATTTACTGAATTTGTTGAACAGTTAAAAAAACGTTACGATGTAAATATTAGAATTGTAGAATTATCATACAAATTTGTAAGACGTAGCCATCTATAACCCGCAAGGTTGCCGTCATTTGGAAGGCAAAAACAGAAGTAGGCAGCTATGCCTACTAATTAAGCTTCCTCCTTTGCTTCATCTCATATAAAATGACGAGTGGAAGAAATCGATATGCATAAAACTTTATTTTACAATGTTAAATGTTCAGATATATACATATCAATGAACAATCATGGCCATATACTGATATAAATATGTATAAACATAATAATCAAAATATAGGTTAATATTATGGGATCTCAGCCAATCGATATAGGTCTACACATCTATTTCTATAGATACACGTGTGAGCTGCGACAGCTGCTTGGGCTGTGGGCGTATATTCAAAACTCGGCATTTGCTGCAGATATAGCTGTGTACATAGATTAGATATCTACTACAACGACATATAGTCAGATCAGGAGTAAATAATCGCTCAAAAATATATGTGTATAATATTATATAGATATAGATGCCGGCTCCTGGCTTCCATACATCATGCATTGAGCCATGTATTGACACATGTCTTAGCTATACTCTCTGTGAATATTTACGCACGATTAGTCAATATATTAGCAAATATATATGCGTACCGTAATCTCCCGTACCGGCTTGAATATAGACACGCCCCGGGATATGAGCCAATCGTCTAAGAGGGGCTTGTCAGGCCTAAACCAATCATAACGTTTGTTTACAAGCAGTCGCGCCACATAGCGGCAAAACAGATCAGCCGTCGTGCATTTCGAGTAGAAATGGCGAGAAACGAGCACCGTGATCTTGTACTTGGTATCGATATCGGCACGACAAGCGTTAAAGCTACGATAATCGAGAAATCTACGAAGCACATAGTGCAGACACAATGTCGGCCGACGTCGGCCGAGCACGGCAGCGACGTAGATGTGCAGGCGAACGAACAATGCTCGCAGAGAATTTGCACTGCGCTGCAGCACGCCGTGTCGATGTTGAAGAAAGACCACCTGATACACGTGAAAACGATAGGCGTGTGTGGACAGATGCACGGCGTCGTGTTGTGGAAATCCGGCGAGGCGTGGACGAGGAACAACTTCGGACGATGCTGCACGGACAAGACTAGCCAGCTGTTCACGTGGCAGGACGGCCGGTGTAGTCGGGCGTTCTTGGAGACTTTACCGACGCCCGACTCACATCTCCGGCTGAGCACTGGCCACGGCTGTGCGACACTCTTCTGGTTGCAGCGTCACCGGCCAGAGTTCTTGGAGAAGTTCGATCGGGCGGGTACGATTCACGACTTCATCGTTGCAATGCTGTGTGAGTTAGACAAGCCCGTCATGTCGACACACAACGCAGCTAGCTGGGGTTACTACAACACGGTCACCAGCGAGTGGAACAAGGAAATGTACGTGAGTCGGAAGTTTAACCTTGAGTATTCATTCAGAATGGAGATTGCGCTGGCACGCTTTAGTGCGTCCTAGATTGTTGATTCCCCGAGTGGCGAGTACTTACTCGCACATGTTTTTCCTTTGCCAAGCCGATGTGCTTGGCAATCTGAGACTGCTTGGGTAACGCGGTGCAGATGATCCGATTGATCTCGTCAAGCGACCCCTCCCCTAACTCCTCTTCCCCATCCCGAGTGTATGCATTTTACTCGTAAGTCGTGGCGGGGTTAGGAGGTCAAGGTCTGATTAGCGCACTAAGCTGTTTATATGATAACAGTTATTATATATATACAGTTCAAAGGATCAGCGCCTCGAGGCGGTGGTAAGAACCAGCGGTGTGTGAAATTGTGATAGGATCGACGCTGTCTGTATGCATTCAATCAGTTTTAAATGATCCGCGTATACACACGCATATACGCGCGTGCACGCACGCACACATGTAGGCCTATGAAACCGATATATGCACGTTCTCTTCCGGAATCCACACTTAATTTATATTACTTGATAACATTAGCACCACACAAACATTCTAAAACAAGCAAGTTGTAATGAGGCCTAGGCCATACTTTAATATTATTAATCATTAGTAATTACGGAGTCAGTACAAGAGTGTGTCTATAGTATATAT